TCCCATTCGGGCAAAAGTCTTTTTCCGAAAGACTTTTGCGCAAAAGGGCCAGTGTAGACAGCAGAGATTTGTTTTCCGCAAAAAAGCCCCGATTGCGAAAATGGCGATCGGGGCTTTTTTGTGGAAAAGCGCGTCTAGATTGGCCACGGACACTTTTCCACAAAAAGTGCTTTTCCGGAAAAGCATCCTGCCAATCTAGACGCGCTTTTCCGAAAATGCTTTTAATGGAAAACTTTTCCATTAAAAGCATTTCCGGAAAATCATGCCAGTCTAGATGTAGCTGTTCTGTTCACTCCTTCTGCGGCATCTGGATAAAGGGCTAGATGGACCCAGTATGGCTGTTATTTTATATATACCTGAAACCAACTAAGCTGTGCCAATTCTTCATTCTATTAATTTTCTTGTATTATATCCCCATCCCTTTCCCTATATCTTTTTTGCCTCTTTTAAATTGTGAACATGCTAGGATAGAGACTGTCGTTTATCTAATTTGTACAGTGCCCAACCAATTGTGATCTTTGAGATGTTGCCATAATACAGTATAAGCACCTACTACTGATGATAAAAAAAATCTGTCACAGAAACGAGTTTGAATTGTCTGTGAAATACAAAGATCTCTGCTATCTTGGAAAAGATTTGCTTCGTGTGCCAATTTTCTTTTTCCTAGAATACAATTCATTTCTCGGCTTAACTTGGCTAAATAAAGCTCTTATTTCTTAGAGAGTTCTGCATACCAAATATTGGAACTATAACATTGTTAAACCACAAGTATTGTTGGCCAGGTGAGTTGTATAGCATTACGTCGGGGATTCTAGAAGAGTGCTGGTGCAGTGCTTTTCTCCTATGAATATAGTTGTCTGAAAGTAGACAGAATCACACTTTTAACGTGTCCTGGCTTTCCAGGCTGAAGGTCTCTAAAGCAGTAGGCAGTAACTAGCAAGTGGGAAAGTGTCACCGTCAGTAAGTTTCAGTAGTGGCACTGTAAGCCAAGTGATTGCAGGCCATCATACAAGGAGCGAGTCAGCGCCTCCAGTCAGTGCCCCTTCTCAAAAACAATTCCTGGTGCAAGTTTTTCCCCTCTGCCTGAAGCTGGAGGTTCTATCCTTGTAGTTCATGCTTCACTTTTCACAGGCTGCAGGTGCCCTAGGCTGTCTGGGGTGCTTGAGTTTGAAGGCTGTTCCAAACACAAATATATGGCAACACTTGACAGTCTACAGGCAGCTGGGGTACTGCAACTGCTGCTTGCAATGCTGATAATTGTTTCATCCTTAACTGATTGTGGTCTCCACCTGTTGTCTCTTATCATATTGTTTGGGACTGGGTCGTGAGCAGTAATGCCTCATTGTCAGAGCAACGGTGATTAAGCTTAGTAGGTTGGAGCCAGAGTCAAGAACTAAGTCAGAAAAACGAGACAGAGCTGGAGTCAGATCGAAAAGTCAGAATCAGAGGCTGAATGCCAGAGCCAAGGGTCAAGTCGGAGTCAGGAGGTGGAGATGAGGATTAGAACCAGGTTACGTGGAGTGAGTACGGGAGGACAGGAGTTGGACTGCGGTTGGGACAGGCCTGGAACAAAGCTAGAGTTGTTCCTAACACATCTTTGGAACAACTTTGGTTGCTTGAAGCTACTACTGGTCTTAAAAGCGGGTCCAGAATTATGGGAACATTTTTAAAAGTGGGGATGCTGAGCCCCCTTGTCCCTGTCCATCCCGAGCTGAAGCAGAGAGCAAAGCCCCAGCATGCAGGGTTTAGGCCAGCATGGCTGAAAATAACCCCAGGAAACCTCAGCTAGAGTTTTCCATAAACCGAGAAAGCATGAGGCTATAGTGAAGGTAAATTGTCTTACCAGGCAACAAAAAGAGCTGGTTCAAATGAAATTTTCATCATAGTAGGCAACATGCTTGGTGTCAGAAAGAAGTGCTTGGTGAGCTATGCATTGTGTTGCATTTGATCTGCTGGTAGAGTTCGCTTTATTTTAATGTATGCTTAGGGATCCTGAACATGAGTCCACTGAAGCCAAGGAGAAGTTAAAAGTGTACAAATGTCTCCACTGGGTTCACTTACGGCTAGGTTTCCAGAAGAGTTGAGCGCTCCCAAGTTCCATGGAAGTCATTCAGCTGTGAGTGCTTAACATCTTTGAAAATTAGGTCTCATTAGTGTCTAGACAGCTATGTTGCTTCCTCTCGAGATCAGTTCCCTATCTGCAGACTCTTTGTCCCACATACCTATTTGCTTGAGTACAAACCAATTAGTACTCAGGACCTGAAACCCTGTGAGTCAGCCGCACTGACCAACAGGTCAAGGAGCTGTGCATCATTTTCAGCCTTTTATGAAGAGTATAAAGATAGGAAGTGAATGCACGTCCAGCATAACAAATGATAATACTTGTCTGTCACAAGAGCATCGCTTTTGTCTCTCTGATTTATCTGCTGCTGCAGAAGGTTAAAAAGCAACAACAACAAAAAGAGCACTTAGTCTTCTTAAAAGCACTTAAAAGAAGTGATAAATGGGATGGAATGTAAGAACCAGGCAAATTTAGCATTTCAGGCAATTTCCATTTGTAGGGGTGTGTGAGAGAGAGATAGAGAGAGAGAGAGAGAGAGAGAGAATCAGTGGCTTGTTTCCAGTGTGGAAAAATAGAAATATCTATGAGCACTGATTAGTGTCAAACTCCCCTAATATAGATATGAGTCTAGTGTGTACACTATGTAACATTTTAATTAATGGCAAGAGTGGTTCAGACTTTTTAACAGAGTCAGCCTTGAAATACAAAATCTCTGATTGTACTGCAGAGTTGGGAAAGATTGTATTCAGGGAAAAGGCAAGCAACAGCCAGTAGTGAGGGTGGGGGAAACCTGTAGAAGTAGTGAGGTGTTGGGAAAAAAACTAAGTGTAAAACATATACAGACCCACAAAGCTAAGCAGCATGAAAGGTGAGACTGGGTACAGCAAGGTAGCTTATTTGCCATTTCAATAAATACAAATAATTCCCCTTTGACTAAGTCCCATATTCCCAGGCTCATTAAATCAATTTCAAAAAATATTTTTAGCTCTGGAACATACGAGCAGAATTCAAACCGTGCCGTCCCTGGAGGTTTACTAGCATAAATTGCATAGGTCAGGCCAAAACACGTTTCTGTCAAACAGCCTAACACCTAAGGTTATTATGAAGCTGATGAGTTGTACAAAGGGCCTGTATATGAGATTGTGAGTGTGAATGAGTTGAAGGAGTTAAAAACTATTGTCATAGTAGTTGTTTCACTTCAGTCATACTGAGAGTCAACTGATATTTTATCCAATAGGTTCTTTCTGTGACCTAACATAGACTCAGAGAAGTTATAAAAGGGAAATTCTTTTAGGTCATGTAGTCTTTCTATCCTTCAGCAAAATTGTACCCTACAGGCATAGATTCAGTATATTGTTCAGTGAGGGTGAAGGTGGCTCCCCGCTTCTGCTGGGAGGTGGCTGCAGCCTAAGAAAGCCAAATAAAGATCAAGTTTCTTCCAATATTCATCCAGTTTCCCTCATTTTTAATTTTATCTCACTATTCTCAGTTACATTTCTCTATATACTCCCGCCCTACATAACTGCTCTACATCTTTAATACTTGATTCATGCTCACGGATGCTGGTAGAAGCTGCATTCAGGCAATGGGAGAAATTCAGGCCCTAGGGAAGTAAGGCAATATTTGCACTTACCGTACTCCTCCCACTGGGGTAGAGAGATTTAAAGTACAGCCAGATCTCTCATAGGAGCCCCAATGACAGTGGATAGCCAAGGTATGAGTGCATTATGCTGCTCCCAAGCCCTGCAGTTATGACCTCCAATTCACCCTGGCTACAGTGGCTGGCAGCAGACCCTGCAGTGAAATGTGGGTGCTTATTTTAGGGCTGAATAACATGCTGGAAATATAGAGGCTTCAAATATGTGTAGACTTTGTTATCCTCTCCCCACACAGATTGGTTACCTATGTCATAAAACAGTCCCTCCAGCTTCTTAGTTATTTACGTTTCCTCTTAACTCCTTCCAATTCCTTTATCAGTATCCATCTGATTAATTGGACATGATATTGCCAGTGCATCTTGGTCTGGGATGTTCTCTCTGTGACACCCAAAATTGCACTGGCCTTATTTGTTGACATATTGCATGTCTTTCCTGGTTTTTGAAAATAAGTACCACATTTGCTTTTCTCCATTACTTCTCTAGGACTTTAAAAAAAAAGATGAATACTTTGTTAACTAACTCTCCTAAAGGATGCATATGATAGGGATTGCCTAATTTTGTCTTCACATCATTCACTTTCCCTCTATTTTCATGGGAGTCATTACATCCCAAATGTTTTTCTTTTTAGAAGCTGTTATTAAAAATAGTTCAGCACCCCAGCTATTTTTAATCTATTCATTTGTTAATAGGTCTACTTTCCCTCTAGTATTTATTTTTCCCGCTTATGTTTGTAAAAAATCTCTTTGATGGATTTTGCTAACATTCCCCTCTTACAAGTCCCTTAATCTGACTCTGGGTTTTCTCACATCTCCCATTTTCAGCACCAAGAGTGACATGCTGGCCAGTAAACTCAGGACTGTTGCTTTGAAAGGAGGGAATGGGGTTTATTGCAGAAGATATGTTTGTATATACAGTAGTGAAAAATGTTGAAATAAAAATAATTTACCAGTGATAAGATTTCTGTTAATTCATGAATGTTTAATTGACTGTCGTGCCCTGTGGGCTGAATTTATGACAATGCATTGACTATAGAAAGTCTGTACCATACTTGCCAGGAAATCAAGCAAATCAAGACATTCACTAAGAATTAGCAAAAGAAATCAAACCAGGCTTTTATTTGCTGTGTCCTTAATACTTTCGTTTACATAGCTCTTCATACATTGGCACTAATAGAGTATCTTCTGTTTCTATATAGTTGTCTAGTGATGTTTGTGATAGTAATGTCTGGGATTTGCTTTAGTCTCTAAAGATAGTGACAGCATTTTCTCCTTTTTTCTTAGGCCTGTTCCAGGTTCTCTGTCTTCACTACTACACTTACATAACCGACAAAGACAGCCCATGCCTGCTTCAATGCCTGGCACCCTGCCCAATCCTACTATGCCTGGATCTTCTGCAGTTTTAATGCCAGTAAGTTATTTTATTCTAATACTGTTACAGGCACTATCAGAGGGAAAGATCTATTTCACTGTATACCATGAAAGTGAAGTGATCCAAAACAGAGAATCCAGAGTTCGGTGTAATTTTGTGCTAATTTACACCAGTTTTACAGAGATGTAACTCTATTAACTCCAGTAGAGTGACTCCTGATTTGAACCACTTTATGTATGCTAGAGTTCAGTCCTTATTCTTTATGGGTATGTCTACACTAGCCTCCTAGTTTGATCTAGGGAGGCTAATGAGGGCGACCAAAATTGCAAATGAAGCGTGGGATTTAAATATCCCGCGCTTCATTAGCATGTTCCCAGCCGGTCGCCATTTTAGAAATTGACTAGCCTGAAGTAACTGCCCGCATCTACACGTGGCAGTGAAATGGGACTCCGAATTAAAGCCCTAACTAATTAGCAGGTATTCAGGGGAGATTCCAGAAGACTGGAAAAGGGCAAATATTGTGCCCATCTATAAAAAGGGGAATAAGAACAACCCAGGAAATTATAGACCGGTCAGTTTAACGTCTGTCCCAGGGAAGATAATGGAGCAGGTAATTAAGGAAATCGTATGCAAACACTTGGAAAGTAATAAAGTGATAGGGAATAGCCAGCATGGGTTTGTGAAGAACAAGTCATGCCAAACTAATCTGATAGCTTTCTTTGAAAAGATAACGAGCCTTGTGGATAAGGGAGAAGCGGTGGATGTCATATACCTAGACTTTAGTAAGGCATTTGATACGGTCTCGCATGATATTCTTATTGATAAACTAGGCAAATATAACTTAGATAGGGCCACAATAAGATGGGTGCATAATTGGCTGGATAACCATAGTCAGAGAGTTGTTGTTAACCTCTAAAAATTTGAAATGTAGGTCAGACCCCTTTGGAAATCTTAGATGTACTCTGTGGACCCCCATGTTGTCCACAGATCACAGTTGAAAAATCACTGTTCTATGGCAACAATGACCTTTTACAGACCCTCATGGACATAGTCTGTGGACGACATGGGTCCACAGGCCTGAAATTGAAAAACACTGGCCTGCACCATTAATGACCCAAGGGAGCCTTATTCTTGAACCTCATTGAAATTTCTTTACATAGTTAAAGAATCTATACTATAAATATTACTGCATCAGAAATAATTTCTGGTAAGTCTTTAAAGTCATTGAGCCAAATTGACTTTAGATACTTGCACACAGCACACTGAATTCAGTGAGAGTTGTACTTGTTAATGTGAAAGCAGGATTTGGACTTTCCTCTTGCGGTATCTATGAGACAATGTATGTGTGCCTGTATCTATAGTGTAGACGCTAAATTCCTTGTATCTTTGTAAAGTAGCCACACTATAAAGCCCTGTATAGACAAAGTGAAAACTGTAGTAGGATACTATGAAGCAACTCCATGGAATATTTGCAATTTCGTAAAAGAAAGGATTTAATGTTCTCCCTTCATTGCTGTACTTTGTAAATTAAATAATCTGGTAATATAAAAATGTATATAGGTACTAGTTCTAGTTATATCTGAGACTAAAAAGCCATTGAAAGTTGTGTTGTGAATGTAATACTATAACCATTTTGAAAGTCTCAGAGAGGTAGCCATGTTAATCTGTAACTAACAAAATTTTAAAAACAACAATGGTCCTGTAGCACCTTAGAGATCCACATGGGTGGATCCTTACAGCTGCTCACAACCCAGCTAAAGTGAAATGTGGGTTCTTCTGCCCACAGATAATATGGCAGGGCTAAGCTGTTAGTGGACTGAGGGCAGATCTACACTGAACCTGGAAGGAAGGCTTAAGGTACACAACTGCAGCTACGCAAAATGCATACTTGGAGTAATCTTACCTTAAGATGAGCCGTGGTGGCGTCCACACTGAGGGAGGCTGACAGGAGCAAAAGCCTCCCATCAGCTTCCCTTACTCCTCACAAAGAGAGGAGCGCTGAACACTGGCAGGAACTGCCTTTAGCATTCGATTTACGGGTGTATACTAGACCCGCTAAATTAAACTGCCAGAGTGTCAATCTTCCAGTAAAAATAGATTTTTGGATCCTGATGCTGATTTTACTTATTGCTGTAAAACAACATTGTCTTTGTTGAAGGCAGTGGAGTCACATAATTGTGAAATTAGAAGTAGGCCCATACAGAACAAATCACATGCAAAATGCCAGTGTAATCTAAAAAAGAATCACTCACCTACTGTGTGATTAGTCAATAAGTAGTAAAAGTGGTTCATTTTTCAGACCCAGTAATTTGCTATAGATACGGAGCCCGTCTTACATAGTTGCCCTTAGCTCCCATTGACTTCAGTTACCCATCTTGCAAAATGCAGCACCTAATTTTCAAAGAATTTTAACAGTCCTGTTAATATAAAAGTTTTGGGAGAAAAAGGTCAGAAATTAACGGTGGAGGGCTAGAAATAAAGAAATAAAAACCTCACTTCACTGTACTGAATATGTTCATTTTGCAAGGCTGTCTCAGAGCTGGTATGTGTGTTGTTCCTAATATAAAAGTATCCTCCTCCACCGTTTGGAAGGGAAGAACATGCTATTTGTTTTGTGTATTGTGGGACAGTCACAGGACAATGGGATTCTTGATTCACCCTGCAGGTCTGGGTTGCTGGTCTTCAGAAATGAGTGTGGCAGCACTCTTTCTGGGAGCAAGTATCAGAGGGGTAGCCGTGTTAATCTGAATCTGCATAAACAACTAGGAGTCATGTGGCACCTTATAGACTACCAGATTTATTGGAGCATAAGCTTTCATGGGTCAAGACCCGCTTTGTCAGATGCATCTGATGAAGTGGGTCTTTCCCCATGAAAGCTTATGCTTCAATAAATCTGTTAGTCTATAAGGTGCCACAGGACTTTTTGTTCTTCCTAGGAAGACTCCCAAGGAGCCAAAAGTGGGATGAATTTCCCTTTACTGCTCAGCTCAGCTTTAGGCGCACAGGTGCAGATTGCTGCCATTTTCCCCATAGGAGTGAATCCAGTCATTGTTTGCTAAATGGAATAAAACATTGAATCCTACAGGTTGAACCTTTCTAGTCCAGCACCCTGGGGACCTGACCGGGGCCAAACTAGAGAATTTGTTGAACTACAGAAGGTCAATATTGTCTAGCGGCATTACTAACACTTCCGCTGCTTACTGTGCTCGTAGAAGTCATTTACAGGTAAAATGGAGCTAAATAACAGCACAGAACACTGAGAACCAGGACTGGTGGCTGTAAACAAACTTTTTGGGACCACAGGAAATTTGGCCACACCTACGATAAGTGGACATCTGGCTCTAACTAAAATCATGCCAGACCATGGATGTTGACAGACCAGAGAGTACTAGACTAGAGAGGTTCAACTGATACCACATTGTTTTTCACTGAAAACATCAATGAGAAGCTGTTTTAACTACAAGTTGAATCGCTAAAATCGGGGACTCTCTGATCCAGCAACATATTGCTGTTCCAGAGAGCCCTGGCTGGCCAGGTTCAGAGGCTGGGCTAATGGTAGGGAGTGTGGGGCTGGTGTGGTGGGGAGCACAGCCCCGCCCGGGAGTGCAGCCCTGGTAGCAGAGAGGCCAGCACAGCAGGGAGTGCAGCCCCGCCCAGCTGGAGGCAGCGGGGCCAGCAGCTGGCAGCACAGCCCCAGCCAGGGACAGCATTGCGGGAAGCGTAGCCCTACCCGGGACAGAGGCAACAGGGCCAGCAGCGAGAGTGCAGACCCAGCTAGGGGTCAGCATGTTGGGGAGCGTAGCCCCTGTCCCCAAGTGTGAAGTGCAGCCCCAGCAAGGTTGGTAGCAGGGAGCAGAGCCAACAGCCAAGTGCGGAGCCTTGACCTCCCCTGAATCCAGCAAGCTCTTTTGTTTGGGACCACTTAGATCCTGAGGGTGCCGGACCACAGAGGTCTCACTTAGGCTACGTCTACACTGGCAAGGCCAAATCTCCTGGTAGATACCAACGTCACCACAGCGAGTCACATCGCTCAGTATTCCAGCTCCCGAGGACACAGCTACGCAGCAGGGCTAAAGCCGAAATACGCGACACAACTTCAGCAACATCAATGGCATAGCTGAAGTGGAAATAGCTTAAATCGGCTTTCGGCGCTGTCTGCATGGCAGGAAGTCCGAGTTAGACACGCCTCCTCCGACTTCCCTGACTCTTCGTGAAATGAGGGTTACAGGAGTTGGAGTAAGAAGTCCTCCAGCTCGACATTCTGTCGAAATAACGGCTTGTTGTGTTTTGTTTCCAGCTCTCTTTTGAATTTGTCAAGGTACCGTAACATAGTGAATTTAACTTACAAAAAAAAGAGCTCTAAAGGCTGGGTAGGGTGTTTTGTTTAGACTCCAGAGCGCCACTAACATGATATAAAAGACAGGACTAGGCAGCACTTTAAAGACTAACAAGATGGTTTATTAGGTGATGAGCTTTCATGGGCCAGACCTACTTCCTCAGATCAAATCGTGGAAGAAAATTGGCATGACCATATATACCAAAGGGATACAATAAAAAAAAAAGTAAACACGTATAAAATTGACAAATCAGATTTTAGAACAGAGGGGGGTCTGATTTGTCAATTTTATACGTGTTTACTTTTTTTTTTATTGTATCCCTTTGGTATATATGGTCATGCCAATTTTCTTCCACGATTTGATCTGAGGAAGTGGGTCTGGCCCACGAAAGCTCATCACCTAATAAACAATCTTGTTAGTCTTTAAAGTGCTACATAATCCTGTCTTTTGTTTCAGCAAGACCAGACTAACACGGCTACATCTCTAGTACTAACATGATATGTAATATATGAAAAAGTCCCCGTGGTTGAGCAGTCCCAGAGAAGAAAAAAGATCCCAACTCATGTTCCATATGCAGTCTAGATCTTGGATTTTTATTTATGTTTTCAATAAGTTCAGCTGGGCTGCAGTGACAGCAGAAGCCACAGCTTTATACAGTGATGCTTTTAAAACCACTTAACTCGGAGTGTTGTTATACTCAAAGGAGGGAAATCATTACAAAAAACTCAAACCTGGGTGGCTATGTTTGTTTTGAAAGGAAACTTTTTTTGATTGGCTTTTGAGAAAAGCAGTGTTTGTAGGACAGACTTGAGGAACCAGCAAATATAAGCAGTTCCCAAAGCAGTTTTTTAAAGGGATGACACAAAGAAATAAAGCTGTGTTCCTTTGAAGAGAAACTGAATATATGTTCTTGAAAATGTCCTGAGACTTCATTATATTGTCTGATTTGGTTTTTTTTTTCTTCCTTTTAAAGATGGAGCGACAAATGTCAATGAACTCCAATATCATGGGGATGCAAGGCCCAAATCTCAATAACCCATGTGCGTCACCCCAAGTCCCTCCAATGCATTCAGAAGCCAAAATGGTAAAGAGAAACAACTACAAAATCCTTTTTAAAAATTGTTTTTGCACTTTTACACATGCACTTTCGTATGTTACCAGTCTCCATTGACTCTGGGCACAATGAATTTAAAGAGAGTGGACTTTCTGATCCTTACCATGTTTAATAGGAATTTTGATGCAGATGAGTGGAAAATCAGCATATGCTGTCTGGTTCTGTGATGGTGTCTGCAACTTGGGTTAAAAATTGTAAGTAAACAAACACTGGAGTAAAAAAGGTTGTGGTGTGGTGGACATGGGCATACTGCAGCAGAGAAGAGTGCAAGAAGCACAAACTGAACAATGCTTGAAAATCAGAGCTATTTTCTTTTCCTTAGTGCAGCTGATGAGGTTAGTGCAACAGGCAAAGTGAAAATTTGGACAAAAGTGGTTTAGTATAATAAATGAAAGTTACTTCTAATCGATGCTTAATTTGTGCAAGGGCTTGCCAGGGCTGAGCGCCAGCACCTCTTGCTGCGTCAGTTAGGAAAGTTTTTTTTTTTTTTTTGAATATTGCTTGAATCCTGGCACCTCTTTCATTACAAATAAAGTGCTGCTTCTAATGTTTCCTGAAGTTATGTGTGTATTGTGTGCTCAAACCTCCCCTTTAGTATGCAGAGGATTTATTTGTGCGAATGCCATTAGCGTTGAGTTTATAAGTCTCACAGCTCCATAATCCACTTCCAGGGGAACATACAGTAAAAATACCCCATAGCTATGCCATCAGCATATGCTTAAATTATAATTGAAACAAAACATTTTATGTCAGTCACGTAGTAATTGTTTGATGGCAGCTGTAAGTGTAAAGTCACAGGTTGCCAAATTAAATATATGGGTCCATTTCAAGAGACTTTGGGCTTGGTTGTCCTCTTATGCAAACCAGGAATTAACTCATTGGAGTTAGTGGAGTTACACCACAATAAAAGTGTAACAGATGAGCAAGGAGGCCCCCAAAGTTTAATGTCTTACTTAGCCTGAGGCCACCACATGCTAATATTTCTTAGTTTGATTAGCAGATACAGTATCTGTTTGTAAAATGATTGTCATTCATCCTGAGGCAAAGGAAAAGGTTTGCCCATCAGTGGGTACAAGAAACCCTCTGTATATACAGTTTAGGACCAGAAAACATACAAGGTTTTCCTGTCTCTATTTTCTTAGTCATGACAGATCACACGTTCACCTAACTATTAGTTTGGGTTAGACTGTTAACCCAAGCTTTGTTAACACCCCAGCTACGACCACACTTTGTAAACATGTAGCCAGTTGTACAGAAGAACAGAAGTAGCCAAAAATACTGGCTATTTCAGCCAAGCAAAATCTGTGGTCAAGAGTTCTTTCTGTGCCGCATAGTAACGGTGACATGCCAAATGGCAACTGCATCTGCAGCAGAGCTTGTTAAATCTTTTTGGAATAGGCATGTGTTTTTTCAACCCAAGCAATGTTAAGCCAAACCAAATACTCCTTCACTGAATAAATCCAAAGCTGGCATCTGTTTTGGAGACTAATGTCTCTGCACGCCCCCTTTCCTCTTGCCTCACCTTTTTTTTCTTTAGTGAAATTGTGGGGCTATTTAAAAACAAAATTAAATTTTGTTTGTGCATATGGTGAGAATTCTGTTCTGTAAAATCTGAAATTATATTTTAAACCAGATCACTCTTTACTCAGAAGAAACTCTGATATATAAAGCTATTGCTTTGTGAAATCTTCTATATTCTGAGTTGGTAATGAGTCCAAGACATTATAAAACAAAATACTGCTCAAACAATTCTTGATGCTTCTTCCCCCTTGCTCTATGGGACTTTCTGACCCTCTCTCTTGGAAATAGCCAATAGAACAGAGGCACCATTTATAGACCATGATCTTCCCTTTTCAAAAAATTACTCTTTATATTTATTTCAAAGTGTATTAACATTATAAGTTGCAGTTAACATAAATATAATTAATGCATATACTAGGGCTATCAAACAATTAAAATAATTGTGATTATTCGCACTGTTAAGCAGTAATAGCAAACCATTTATTTAAATATTTGTGGATGCTATCTACATTTTCAAATATTTGATTTCAATCATTGCATGGAATACAAAGTATGTAGTGATTACTTTATATTTATTTTTATTGCAAATATTTGCATTGTACAAAACAAAAGAAACAGTATTTTTCAATTCACCTAATACAAATACTGCATTGTAATCTCTTTATCATGAGGCAAACTTACAAATGTAGAATTATGTACAAAAATAACTGCATTCAAAAATAAAACAATGTAAAACTGTAGAGCCTACAAAGTCCACTCAGTCCTATTTCTTATATTCAACCAAACACGTTTGTTTACGTTTTCAGGAGAAAATGCTGCCCCCCTCTTGTTTACGATATCATCTGAAAGTGATAACAGGCATTCATATGGCACAGTTACTACTGGCATCACAAGATATTTACATGCCAGTTCTAAAGATTCAGATGTCCCTTCATGCTTTAGTGCGTCCATGCTGATGACAAGATCTGCTCAATAATGATCCAAAGCAGTGTGGATAGGCATGTTTATTTTCATCATCAGAGTCAGATGCCACCAGCAGAAAGCTGATTTTACTTTTCGGTGGTTTGGGTTCTATAATTTTCACATCAGAGTTGCACTTTAGGGGTATGTCTACACTACCCTCCTAGTTCGAACTAGGAGGGTAATGTATGCATACCGCACTTGCTAATGAAGCCCGGGTTTTGAATTTCCCGGGCTTCATTAGCATAAGCGGGGAGCCGCCATTTTTAAATCCCCGCTGCTTCGAACCCCGTGTAGCGCGGCTACCCGGGGCTCGAACTAGGTAGTTCGGACTAGGGTCCTATTCCGAACTACCGTTACTCCTCGTGAAACGAGGAGTACCGGTAGTTCGGAATAGGCACCCTAGTCCGAACTACCTAGTTCGAGCCCCGGGTAGCCGCGCTACACGGGGTTCGAAGCAGCGGGGATTTAAAAATGGCGGCTCCCCGCTTATGCTAATGAAGCCCGGGAAATTCAAATCTCGGGCTTCATTTGCAACTCCGGTTGCCTACATTACCACCCTAGTTCGAACTAGGGTGGTAATGTAGGCAACCGGAGTTGCAAATGAAGCCCGGGATTTGAATTTCCCGGGCTTCATTAGCATAAGCGGGGAGCCGCCATTTTTAAATCCCCGCTGCTTCGAACCCCGTGTAGCGCGGCTACCCGGGGCTCGAACTAGGTAGTTCGGACTAGGGTCCTATTCCGAACTACCGTTACTCCTCGTGAAACGAGGAGTACCGGTAGTTCGGAATAGGCACCCTAGTCCGAACTACCTAGTTCGAGCCCCGGGTAGCCGCGCTACACGGGGTTCGAAGCAGCGGGGATTTAAAAATGGCGGCTCCCCGCTTATGCTAATGAAGCCCGGGAAATTCAAATCTCGGGCTTCATTTGCAACTCCGGTTGCCTACATTACCACCCTAGTTCGAACTAGGGTGGTAGAGTAGACATACCCTCAGATTCTTAAACCTTGAGTTCAATGCTATCATTAGAAATTTCATATTGGTGCTTTCTTTGCACTTTGCTGAATCTGTAGCGAAAGTGTTCTTCAAATAAACAACATGTGCTAGGTCATCATCTAAGACTGCTATAAAATTAAATATATGGCAGAATGCATGGAATACAAAAGGGAACATATAGTTCTCCCTGAGGGAGTCCAGTCATAAATTTAACTAATTTGTTAGTTTTTTTTATCGAGCATCATCAGCATGGAAGCATGTCCTCTGGAATGGTGGCCAAAGCATGAAGAGGTATATGAATGTGTACTACATATGGCATGTTAATACCTTGCAATGCCAGTTAAAAAAGTACCATGTGAATGCCTGTTCTCTCTGTCAGGTGACATTGTAAATAAGAAGCAGGCAGCATTATCTCCCGTAAATGTAATCAAACTTATTTCTCCTAGCAATTGACTGAACAAGGAATAAGACTGAGTGGATTTGTAGTCTTTACAATTTTCTTTTGTTTTAGAGTGCAGCTACGAAACAAAAAATCTACATTGTTAAGTTGCACTTTCATGATAAAGAGATTGCTGTACAGTAGTTGTATGAGAAGAATGCTATTTGTTTTGTTTATCATTTCTACAGTAATATTTGCAATAAAAATGATAATGTAAAGTAAGCAGAATACAATGTGTACCTTGCTCACTTTACATTATCATTTGTCAATGCAGAAAAAAATCCAAAAAATATTTAATTTCAATTGGTATTCTATTTTTAACAGTGTAATTAAAATGGCAATTTATCACAATTAATTTTGGAGTTACTGGTGTGAGTTAACTGTGATTAATCAACATCAATAAAATACACAACAACATTCCTTTTCACTCACCAATTGTACATGTAAAAAATAGAATAAAGGAAGAAAATATAGGAGATATTTAGAGAAAAACATTCCTTATGACTCAGTTAAAATGTAAATTGTCAATTCATTAACTTCAGTCTTCTTCATTGTCATATTTTTTTCTTATTAATAAAATACATAAATTAATAAATATCTACTCAAAGACCTGCTAACGTGAGGTATCGAATACGTCCTTCAAATTGAAGTCAATGGAAAATAAAATCAGGCACTTAGTATCTCACAGAATCAAGCCCTACATTAGGAATGAATTTCAAATTTCTTCAGAATGTGTTAATTCTATTATCAGTGATGCATCCAATTCTCCATATGTGCCATTTTGTGAGTTTAAACACAGCACATACTATACAAAAGTCACTGAAGCACCTCTTAGTCACTGGAGAAGTGCTAGTGACTGAAATCAATGGTAGCTGGATTAGTGCTTTCCATGCATCTATGTAGTTGATCATTGAATCCTCACCACAAACGAGTGCAGAGTAGGTTTCCCAGTAGACTCCTTTTCAGATATGAGACATAGAGGTAATTCATATCCAATCAAAGTCAGTTTGTTATGGGAAATGGGAAGAAGGGTATAATTTTTAAATCGGCTTTTT